TATATATAATGTACATAATGTACATATAAATAAAGCTTATTGTTTGTTTGAATTTGTCTGGGAAGTTAGCCGTTATTCATCCTCACTGCTCATTTGCATTATCGCCACGTGTCGTCAAATAATTTGAGGCACGTGGAGAGTTTGTGCTGAATGGGGGTATTTTTTTAGAATATTTAAAACTCATATAATTATAAGACAATGCTCATATATTTTAATTTATGGCATTATAAAACAATACAAAAAAAAAATATTAACAATTTAATCATATTACGCATATATATACATAGCTTTTCATAAATTATTTAAAAAAAATTTTAGTAGTACTACAAATAACTTTAAATAATATTGATATGTACAAAAAAAAAAATCATTTGATCAATTACAAAATTAGATATATTTTGAATAAAAAAATTATATACTGCTAAATTTAAAGATCATTTAAACTTTTTTTTTAGCAACTTTATAATGCACTGAACACCTAAACAATGCAAATCTAATGACACTAAAAAAGATTCTATTTAAATCCAAACGAGCTCAAATAAAAAATTAAATATTAATTAAAAATTAAATCATTAAACACAGAAAAAGTTTAATATTTTAAAATTTTGAAAACTTTTCACAATATTCTATAATCGAAAAGGGAAAAAATTTGCGTGCGTAAGACGTACGCAGGACTGCATACGTCTGTAACCTATAAATATATTACAGTGAGTGTATTAGGAGGTTATAACCGCGTTATATCTTCTGTAACCTCCATGTAACCTATCTGTACATTCTAGCAAGTTTCACGTTTCTGTTTTCATATATTTGTAGGTTTAATTGAGGTTACAAGGGGTATAACGAGATTATAACCTCCAATACTCTCCATGTAACTTATTTGTGGTTACAAACGTACGCATCTCTGCGTACGTCTTACGTATGCAATTTTTTTCTATCGAAAAGACTACAACAATAATCACTACTCATCAGTCAACTGTCATCATCCGTCTGACAACGTCGCTCTATCATCATCACTCCATCATTGTCCTCATGTCACACCATCCTCATAATTTGATTGTTATTCTCTACTTGCTATCATCCAATCATGATCCCCTAAGTTAGGCCTAACTAGTCTTCCACTCTTGACAAATTCAGGCAAATAATAATAATAATAATATTATTATTATTTTTGTGTTCCCTTATTTTATTTTTTTGTATGTCTGAAATTAGGCCGTAAAATATAAATGTAAAATTTTCCCCAGTAAAAAAAAAAAGTGGAATTTATAAAATATTAATCCTTCCTTTCCCATGTGGAACGCGTAATGCTTACGTCACTCCCATTCAAAATCCGAACAGGGCTCCTGCACAAAAGGAGAACAGACTACGAGCTCAACAAAAAGGGCGATGAATCCTTCAGAAGAGAGTATGGTATAAATCAGTTCTCATCATCTCTCTCGATCCCTGCGGAGGTGAGAACCTGACACTGAAATGCCCCAAATGCCAATTACTCTTATCCCGATCTCCTTAATTAGCTCTGCAATCTGATACTTTTCCATCAGATTGCTGCTTGTTTGGCAAGCCAGCTAGCGCGAAGAACGAAAATGGCGTTCTGGGATGGCTCTTTCCTCACTACTGAGCTCTCGCATCAGACCTCCTGTTTTGGCCTTCGGCTCTGGGTTTTGATCGCCATCTCCGTCGGGGTTGCCATCGTTCTCGTCCTCTTTATCCTCTCCATCTGCCTCGCCTTCCGCCGCCGCCGCACCCTTTCTCCCCCCTCCCACAAAACCCTAAAGCACCACCTCCATGATTCCACCCCGGCCATCTCCAAGGAAATCCTCGAGATCTTCCGCCTAAATTCCCCCCCTCGCGCAGCGGCCGCCGCTCCACCCATTACCGAGATTCAGGTGGACATCGGCAAGGAGAACCACCACGTCGTGTTTTCCGATCACAAGGGCCATGCGCCGCTGCCTTCGTCGTCGACGGCGAGCGCTGAGAGTCGCAGCACGGCGGCTGATTTCACCGTTTCGCCGAAAGGGATCGGTGGCCCGCCGGAGGTTTCGCATCTCGGATGGGGGCATTGGTACACTCTTCGGGAGCTGGAGGAAGCCACCGGAGGATTTGTTGATGAAAACGTGATAGGGGAAGGAGGGTACGGGATCGTGTACCGCGGGGTCTTACCTGATAACACCATGGTCGCCATCAAGAACCTTCTCAATAACAGGTTAATGATTTCGAAATACCACTCTGCTCTTTCTTGCAGGATCTGTTAAAATGTTTGTTTTTTCATCAGAGGGCAGGCGGAAAAGGAGTTCAGAGTAGAGGTTGAAGCCATTGGTCGTGTTAGGCATAAAAATTTGGTCAGATTGCTTGGTTACTGCGTTGAAGGAGCCCACAGGTCATCTAATTTCTCTTGCACATCTTCTTATGGAATTTGAAAACGTAAGGTTTTTGTGTGTTTGTGTAGAATGCTTGTCTATGAGTATGTAGACAATGGTAATTTGGATCAGTGGATTCATGGTGACATTGGGGCTGCAACTCCATTGACCTGGGAAATCAGGATGAACATAATCTTAGGAACGGCTAAAGGGTAATAAGTTCCACTCTTTTCTTCTTCATACATTGGTCCATGGTATGTTAAAGTGTGCTTATATTATAAATCATGTGAAAAACCATAAAATTTGTTCAAAGTGGATCATAAACATAAATAAATTGATCAATATTTTAGCAGGCCTACATATAGAATCATTGATAATCATGCTGCCAATAACTATTACTCTAGATTATCCATGAGGCCATTAATTATTTTTCACATTGTTATATCTGGTCAATGAAACTATTTGAGAATTAGAAGATATCTAACAGTGGTTGCTTCATAAAGAAGTATATTGTTTTAGAGAGAAGAGCACAGTATTTCACACAAGAGTATCTCTATAACTTAACTCTGAAGTTAGTTTCTTCTGGAAAGTTTGTAAAAATCAGATCAAAGATAACTAAATACTTATGAGCGGATTTAATTGATTTGTAATATCTGACAAAAAGTAAATGCTAATTGTTGACAGTTTAGCTTACCTTCATGAGGGACTGGAACCAAAAGTTGTTCACCGAGATGTGAAATCTAGTAACATATTGCTTGACCGGCATTGGAACTCTAAAGTTTCAGACTTTGGGCTTGCCAAGCTCTTGTGCTCGGAGAGGAGTTATGTCACAACGCGCGTCATGGGTACATTTGGGTTCGTCCAACTCCCACGAACCTAACCACATTTCGTCTCCTCTTTTCGAAGAATTGTTCTTTTTACTTTCTTTATTTGCAGCTACGTAGCACCGGAGTATGCTAGTACTGGAATGTTGAATGAGAGAAGTGATGTTTACAGCTTTGGGGTTCTTATCATGGAGATCATTTCTGGGAGAACCCCCGTCGATTACTCGAGGCCGCCTGGTGAGGTAAATACCATCAAATTTCGTCAGATGCAATAAATATGAGGGAGGAATGAAATTCCTTAAAACTTGTTACTTGATCATGTACTATATATTAGCTCCTTTTAAAAAGTCTAGGGACTAAATTGACACTTTTATAGACTCTATGACTAAATTGACCCCTGAAAAAGAGTCAGAGGTTCATTTTGACACTTCTCTCTATTATTTTATATTTGATAACTTCGAGCATTTTTCAATTCTTGGTGTTTTTTTTGGCCATTTAGGTGAATTTGGTTGATTGGTTGAAGAATTTGGTGGGAGAACGGAGATACGAGGAGGTCGCAGATCCAAAGATTTTAGTGAAGCCTTCGTCCAAATCACTCAAACGGGCACTTCTTGTAGCACTTCGCTGCGTCGATCCTGATGCGATAAAACGACCAAGAATGGGCCATGTCATTCACATGCTCGAAATGGAGGATTTCTCGGCCCGAGAGGTAATATATTTTCCTAGGAACCCCTACAAGTTGTTCATCCATACTCCATGCTGATCCATCTTGATCGCTTACAGGATCGAAAACATGGTCGGGAAGCGTCAAATAATGTCAATCCGACCACCAAAGTAGGAAAAAAGATAGAACTTTTGAGTAGGCAAGCCATGAACATCAAGTAGGGGTTAGAGAGGCATTTTTGTTTTGTTTTGTTTTGTTTTACAAGGGCACATCAAGACTTATTGTCCTTTTGGTTTTTCCCTTATTTCCTATATCATTAAGGATCCATTAAAGCATTTGTATCTTTAGTCTTTGGTGTATTATAGCAAACATTTCTCTTTAATTTTTTATTATTTAATGCTCAATCCTTCTTTAATAGTGCTTCTCCAATTAATACGAGCAATAGAAAGTTTAGTTCACGTGATTGCTTTTTTATCTGCTTGTAGCATGAAGAAAATGGATGTGCATCTTATAAGCAACTTGCTGGTTTTTTATTTATTGTTATTGCATGATTTTTTGCTAATCCATGGCAGTATTGTGTAGGTTCTAGGCTTGGTTCTTAGTTTCATGAGTATTTTAATGGTGGTAGTTAGTGTTTCTATTTGTAAAACACTCCAATTCCTTGTTGTGCATGTTTCTCTGTTCCATTTGTGCCGTTTTATTTATTTTAGCTATTTTTCAGTCAATTGCAGAGCTTAGGTAAGTTTTGGTTTATTTATTTTATTGGAGTTTATGAAATGTTAATTAATGTGCTCTACTGCAAAGCTTGGTTTCATCTTACTTGTTATTGTTATTATTATTTGCGGCTCTTACATATATACCACTTAATTCTTATGTATTTTACATATATGACACCTAAACTTTACCTTTTTTACATTTATACTACACAAATCTTTCATATTATATCAAAAATAATAAAGCGCCCTTAATTCTCTAAATGTTTGAGGTGCTTTAATCAAAGAGAACAAAAAAACATTGTTCTGTAATTTTTACCGCTTTGTTTTGGGTTTGGTAGATCTATTTGAAGTTATGAACTGGTGGTCCATATTTTTGCTGCCGAGTACGTTAATGAACATTCGCAAAAGTTCATTGTATTTGCATCTTCCATAGGGGATTGATGTTGTGTGCCAGCTTGTTCCTCCCTGGAGATGCCAGTCCTAGGGGCCAGGGCATGCCTTTTGTGGTTATATGTATATAAAAAAATAGAATTTCGCTTGCCTTTTGTAGTTATATATATCTAAAAAAATACAATTTCAATCTTTATTTTATTTCCTTCTATTTTTTAGAAATTTTTTTTTGGTACTACTTGACCTTGAAAATGAATAGTTAGGTTAAATTAGCCGATATATACTTTTATTTGTACATAAGAAAAAATAAGTTTCTTAGACATCATGAAAATAACGGCCCCGATCAAATAATGGCGGGCGACAAGATAGCGTATTTAGGCGGCATATGAGTCGACACTGTTGTGAGTTATATACCAATTGTTGTGGTATATATATAGAAATAAAAAAGGAGAATGATCTTTGATGAAGCAAAAAATAGAACGGGAAAATTCACATCTGAAAACAGTAACACAGCGAAACACACAGATTTACGTGGTTCGACAAATTGCCTACGTCCATGGAGTTGCAGAGGATTTTACTATTTGAGGAATTTACATCAGTTGATTGTAAGTTGATCGACTTACAAGAGGAATCTCACACTCGTTGCTCTTTCTTCTTCTCTCTCTGTTCTTCTCTCTTTACACCGAGATACATCGAATAAGCTCTACATCGAGATACACTGAAGAAAATAAACTTACAAGAGAAATAAACTCAATTTCTCTTCTGCCACAAGCCACCAAGAAGAAGTCAATGGAGAACAATCTTCTTCTTCTTTCTTCTTTCTTCTGCATCAAGAAACTACTTCTTGCACTTTCATTTCTCTATCCCGAGGAAACCCAAAGAAGAACATCAAAAAGGCTGTGTCGTAGAAACTGAAGGAGTCGTGCGATCTTTTATCGCAAACAAGAAGGGAAGTTGGCGACGTTTCGCGAAACAGTAGGGAGTAACTATTCGTGAACGGATGAAGCGAAGCTTAACTTCGCACGCGCGGGAGCAGACGAGAGCGATTTCACGATCAAGAGGGAGCGGGACGACGAGATCGATGAAAAAATTCTATCGGGCTCCAGCTAACAGCCACAACTAAACACCAAAGTATGATGGTCAGATGTTAAAGAGCCTAAGAAGTGTGGTGGGTCGCTGGCACCTAAGGGTAACTAATCTAGGGCCGAGCAAACCATCTGAGTTGAGCGGCTATGACTAAAGCATGAATTATTGACAGAGGACGAACTTTTTAGACTGATCGACAGATCACAAGAATCGGCTAGTCATGGGGCCAATGCCTGATATCAACGATTAGTACCAAAGGTCATGATCGGGTAACTCAAAGCTAGGGAAATATTACTTAAGAGATCAGAATCACACTCGAGACGGAGGCAGAAGGGGACCCAATGCTTCATCAAGACACTATTTCCCAAGCATAATTGTTACAAGTGAGTGCTTGAATTGAAATTTTATATGGTCTCACCTGGGACCTCTTAGTGAGATTTCTTTATTTTTAAATGATATGACATGTCTTGTCAAAGGGTTAACTCCTATAAATATGAAGCATTGTATAGGAAAAAGAAAAGGAAGATTCTCTCATTATTTTTTCTCCATTAAGGAATCTCTGACAACTCTCTAGGCTTTCCTTTGCCTTTTTCTCAAAGAAGACCCTTATTTTTCCCTACGTATATGTGCTCTATTTCTTGGGTATAATTCAAGGACGAATTTGGGTTCAACACCCTGAAATGTGTGGTGAGCGTGAAGTTATGTTAGAAACGAGAAGAGGAATAACACAAGAGGAAGAAAGTAATCGAGAAAATGCATAAAACATGGAGTGCACTACAGATTTCATGAACCAACAGATCCAAGAAATTAAGGATCAAATGGAGATGATCAGAGAAGCACTTCAATAAGAAGCAAATGTAGTACCCCAACCAACGGTTCCCGTACATCGAAGATTTGGCCCAAATATGGGAAAGACATCCTCCTCAGTGCCAATCGTGAGTGATGAGACATATCATCCAGATAGTGTCAGATTTGTACCTCAAGACTACGACATACAAATGTGCACGAATGCCCGACGACCCGCTCCTGGTAATGCTTTCTCTCAACAAATTTATGAAGTTGAAATGCCTGAATAATGCAAGATCCAAACTCTGGAGTCATACTGAGGGAAGATCCACCCTGTCGATCACGTCGCCTCTTTTGAGCGATGGTGTGCTTACTAAGGGTGAACAATGTACTAAAGTGCCGACTCTTCTTTATGACCCTGAAGGAGTCCATGCTCCAGTGGTTCAATAACCTGCCACCCGAAGTAATCACTTCATTTGTAGAGTTCAAAAAGATGTTCACTACGCAATTTGTAATTGTACAAAGACCTCCAAAAAATTCTCAGGCACTGTTACAGTTGTGGTAGGAGTAAGAAAAATCGTAGCATTCATAACTCGATTCTGGAGGGAAATATTTGGAGTATGAGATTTAAAACCCACGATCGTACATGCGGCCCTCGCCCAATGGTTGAAATTGGTCATTTTTTATATGCCTTAGGGCTACAAAGACTAGAGATATTGACGGAGCTACTAGAACTTGCTAGCAACTACATCATGACAGAATAATACGACCTACCTGTGGTTTTCTGGATATCTGAGTGATCACAACCATATCCGTTGACAAAAGTTCTTGTGACAGTGATTGGAAAACATGCCACCCACCCCTACCATCAATATGTCCTTGGTATAAAGATGACTGCTCATAATCTTACCAAAATAGACACACCACCGAAAGAACATAAGAAAAAATCAAGGAAAAACACAATATCGAAAGCAGTGAGTGAATCACTATCTAGAAATACCACTGTCACCAACTCACCACATCCCTCAACCAAGTGCACTAAAAGTCTCAATGGTAGAAAAGCTGTGGACATCCATAATCAAGACTATTATAAAAAACCGACTTCCATGAAGGCCAGAGGGTGCATCCACAATCCGAAGAAATATTGTGTCTGTCATCAGGACCACAAACATGACACAAACAAATGTCGACACCTTTGGGCCCTAATTAAAGGGTTGATTCGAGCTGGAGAGTTGAAGGAGTTCATTGCAATCAAAGTAGTCGACTAACTGTTGTGAATGAAATATATGAGATTTCCCTTATATAAATTCATATTTTATTTCATATTTATATAACATTACACTTATGGAGTGTTTTGTAGAATACAAGGGAATAAGCCACTTGGGGAAGCAAAAGAGGCAAACTAGGGAGCCAAAAGAGGAAAGAAATGAATTCTCATATGGCGCACATGCACCCAAACCAACACACCCTCGCCTCCACTCCATGGGCATATGTGCACTCGTGCAGCTCCACTGCCAAAGACTAGCACACCTATGTCAAGCATGGGAGCGGATGCGCCCCACACGCAGAAATTAATTTGGAGTATTTTTTTGCCTATTTGGATGCCCTCACTATAAAAAAAAAAGCTTATTTGAATGAGGAGGACTTTTGGCTGGTTGGAGGATGTCCTTCCTTGCTTCTGAGGAGTCTTGTGAGTGCTTTAGGGTTTCGTCTTAGGGATTTCCTTAGGAGAATCTTCCAAGGCATTTTTCTTTGAGAGTTTTGGAGAGATTGAGGGTGTGAGGTTTGTGCGATTGTACAAGAGGAGATCAACGAACTTTACTTAATGTAGGAGAGGATCGTGGTGTAAAAGTGAGAGAAGATTACTTAGGTTTGAGTGTTATAACTTATTTTTACATTATTTTTTCTTGATTTCAATGAAGAAATTTATGCGTTCTTGTCTCATGCATCATAGGAAAATATACTTCATGCTCCTGTGATTAGGGTTAGTGAAGTATCCTTATGAGTTTGCCCCTAGACGATTTCTAATGCTTGAATAATTCATGTTTATATGTTAATTTTTAGGATGTCATTTACTTTTGATTTGACCAATTAGAATACTAAAATCCTTTATGAACTTGAACTTCTAACTGTTGCCTAGAAGAACAAATAGGTTTGCACATAATCACTTAGTGAAATAGATATATTATCATTTGAAGATTGCAATCTAGATAGGGGACTAGAGGATTCCTAGGAAACACTACATGATTAAGCCCCACTTAACTATAATAAGGCTTCTAACTCTTCTTATGACCTGGACACATAGGCTAGAGAAAACTTATTCCTGGTTCTCAACATTAACATGGGGATTTCATAAGGAGACTTCAAGGATTCACAAAATCTCGAGTCACATGAGTATGAACTCATCACATCTGATACTCCATCCTCTATTTGGTTCTGCTTCTTTAGGTTTAGAAAACTTTTCTTTTATGCAACTTGAACCGTTCAAGCTAGGCTTAGGATTTAGTAAACTAGAACTTCACCCATCAGAAAGTTTACTCATTTTCTCATGTGATCGATAGACGAACTCATCTCCGTATATTACTTATTCGACACGTATACTTGTTTTGTTGACCAACTTGTTTCACAATAAATTCAGGCATCAAATTTTTAATGCCATTACAGGGGAAATGAAAATTTCTTACTTGGGTGAATTTTAGTTTAACTTAAAATTTTAGGTTCCAAAACTTGTCTATTCATGTTTTTTATTTTTATTTTTTTTGTTTTTGTTTTTTGTTTTGTGCTTTATTATGTTGTGATTGCGTTGTTGCATTTTCATTCTTATCACAGCTCCTAGAAAACCAAAAAGTCAAAATAATTTATTATTACTTACATATGTTTATTTTTTAGTATTTTGCATAGCCTGAGTTTTGTTATTTGAATTTCTATTGTGTCGGATCTTAGACTATGATCACTTGCTTGTCAACACTTAGTGTACGCGTGGGACTGTGAAAGCCGAGTTAGCACCCTTTGATCCTAAGACCAAACTTTCAGACAAGGCAAAAAATTGAAATTTATGTGTTAGATATGTATAAGCATAAAAAATTCGTGGCGTGCACTTAAAAATTCCTATAATCCTACAGAATTAATTATGATGGCTAAATATTCGAAGTATTCGTCTGTATTCAAAAAAACATTTCAATCATAAGTGCAATATAAAATAGTGATAAATGAAAATTAAAAGAGAAATTTACATACAAGAAGACATAATTCTTACGTATTTACATATCTCACACGTAACATTCATATTTACATATGCAGCACATTGATGCTTCAAACTTATACATGAAAATGTGTACTTCTAAAAGTGATAATAGTGCTATATTTGATAAATATTAAATATTTGAGTGTTACGTTTGTAAATATGAAAGTTTAGGTGTGAGATATGCAAATACATAAGAATTTTGTTATGTATATATATGTAAATGCCCCAAAATAAAATATCATATTACGAATGGATATTTTAAGCAATAAAGAGTTCTAAAAAGATTTTTAAGAGATTTGAAAACTCTGTAAAATTCTAAGAGGTTAATTAGCCTATTATAATACAAAACACTTGAATAAATGGGTAATACGATTTTGCATTAATAATTTGAAATCAATAGTTATTATAGAAGTTCGTATTTGCGTACAACACAAATAATACAAGAACTTACATCAAAATGCATTTGTACATGATGTCTATAGCTTGCAATTGAGTTCATCATATGAATTAACAGATCTAGGAAGCTGCAGTAAATGTGTTAAAATGACTGGTAATTATCTATGAAAAGTAGCTCTATTAGTAAACCTGAAAAGTTGTATCAGTAATGAAGTTTTGGATAGTTAATTAGTTATAATAGTAGATAGTATTAACAAGTGGAGTTGTGTTTATGGTTAGTTATAGTTAAAGTTTTACTCTTTCACAGGAGACCAAAGCTTGTAAAAAGGATATGGAGAAATATCAACTTGCTCTGTTTTCCTCACTCAGAGAATAATCAATTAGTAGTTCTGTAATGAAGTCCATAAAATCCTACTATATCATAAGCCTAGTTTCGACCAATTGAATAGGGCCTTCCGAGCCATCAACACTGAGCTCCAAGCACAACATGCCTTTCCAAGTCCCCATTGTGAAAACACAGACGTCAACCCGTCAGCTTTGGGAAATCGGCACACTCCAAGCTTGGCCAACATTCAGACTTTGCCAACGAATCAATTCTAACACCTAAAATTGGCCTTCCCAAAGTAGAACAATATTTTGAATTCAAAATAACACCCCAAATTAACAATTGCAATTGGCATACTTCCATCTACTAGGGATTGCACTCCGCTGACTTGTATGAGAAAAAGGTCTGCAGTTTTTGCAAATCCGGAGGCCTTTGAAAAGCTCACACGTCAAAAAGATGGCTTACCTGAACTACTTTTGGTGTGGAGCTTCATTGTCGACCTTCGAGACAACATTTGCTAAGGCGTCAAAATTAAGAATATAAAGCACACTGATGGATGCAATTGGAATCGCGCGACTGATTGAAGAGAGGAACCAACTCAGGCACAAGATAGTCTCTAACGAAGCCAATAATATTCCCCCAACAAGTGGCATCCTTAGTCCACCTACACTATCACGATCGAACCACGTACAATCCTAAACTTTTCGCCACCTTGCTAACCAGGAAACAAAGGAGAGGCGCACCAAAAAATTGTGCCACTGCTATGATGAAAAATATACTCCCATTCACAAATCTGAATGACCACAAGCATTCATGATAGAAGACACCCAAGCTCCACTTCTCATTTAGGAGGTTGTCACCATAAAGAAAAACCCAACATCCTTTCAAAAATCTCAATTAATACAATTGCCAAACCACTCCAAAACCTTAAGGCTAAAAGTAAGGCAGAGAAACAAAGAAGTAATCATCCTCGTGGATGGATGTCAACTCTGTCGACCAAAAGCCCTTACAAAGATGACCCTCTGATTAATCGCAACACTAAACTCCAAGTGATGGCAGCTAATCAAGAAAAAATAGATTGCAAAGGATAATGTTAAGAACTCGGCTTTGTTGTTTAGAATTACAAAATCACTATCATTTCAATGTTCTTCA